TACTTGCCTCATTCTTGTGGGCAGGCAAGGATGGAACTTCTAGTGAGCAGGCAGGCATATATGTATATGTTCCCTTCTTCCTTTTTCAGCAAGGGTAAGCTCAGTAGCAGACAAAACTCTAGGAAACTTTTTGAATAATGGGGTAAAATTTTTCTTAGGCTATGTGGGGTGGGGTAGTCCAGGTATAGCTTCTTGCTGTTTTATATGCTGATTTCCAAAATGTTGCTAGATATCTTGCAGGTGTATTCAACTATAGCTCAAACAAGTGCTACTGCCAAGTCTAGTTCTAATTTTATGACTTTCAATTAAATATGTGCCTACCATTTCTTGGAGGATAGAGAGTGGGTTGGAAAGTTAGCTGGGTATGGTGGCTCATGCCTGTAGTCCCAGCTACTCAGGAGACTAAGAGGGGAGGACCGCTTGAGCCTGGGAATTGTAGCATTGTTTGTTAATACCAAAAAGTGGGGAAAAAAAAGGAAATAATCTAAATGTCCAACATTTAAGAACTGGATAAATAAATTAAAATAAACTGTGGTACACTTGATCAATAGAGTACTATAAAGTAGTAAACAAGAATGACAAAGCTCTTTATATACTAACATGGAGTATCTCCAGAATAAATTAAGTGAAAACAGTAAAGTGCAGAAATGTATATAGTACACTGCCATTTGTGTTAAAAACAGAAAAAAATAAATTGACATGTATGAAGTTCTCACATATGTATAAAAATCTCTAGAAGGATATTCATCAATAGGTCATTGAACACTGCCTAAAAAAATAAAAATGAGTATTTATTAAAAACTTAATAACATGGTTTGCTTATGAGAGGAAGTCTGGGTATTTATTGGGCAAAGTAAAAGGATTCTTTTCCTCATTGTATATTCTTTTTGTTGTTTTTGAACTTTGAACCATGTGAATGTAGTAGTTTTTTAGTGTGAAATTACACTGTCTAGTAAAATAACTATAAAGTTGGAGAAACCAGAAAAGTTTTAAATTAAATGTTTCCAACCGTTAGAAAAGAGGAAGATATATTTGGTGGTAGTTAGGGATAACTCACCTAGAGTGTCAATTAGCAGATTTATAAGAAGGATATAATAGCTGGAGTATGTTTACCTGATTGATGAAGTTCCTCCGCTTTTGAGGCTACCATGGAAATCAATGTGATATAGTGGGAAGAGCATGGGTTTTGGGATAAAGCGGACATAGATTCAAATCCCAGCCTTTCCATATTGAGCAAGTTATTTAACATTTTTGAAGTTTCACCTTCCTCATCTATAAAATGGGTAAAATCTGAATAGGATTACCATAAAGGTTAAATGACGTAACATCCAAGTGCAACAAATTTGTTCATTTACTTCTTCTTTCCTTATATAGATAGGCTGAACTGAGATGGACGGGCATACAGAAATTAAATGTCTTGAGAAAATGCAGGTCATATGTGAAGAAGTACATACATGTAGCTAAAGTCCCTGTATCTATGAGTTAGTTTGTGAATCTCATATTATGAGAAATGAAAACTTCTTACTAGCTTAGAAGTTTTAAAAATCCCTGGGCTATTCAGTTAGTTTCTCTTTTTCCTTTTTATTTCCCTGTCTGAAAAATGTCAAAAGGAAGAAAGTACTTTGAAACACATTACATATACATCCTAATAAATATTCCCACTGGCTTTCTATGGGAAAACATTTTACTCTAATGCTCACATATATATATATATTGTTTGTTTTTGAGACAGAGTCTTGCTCTATTGCTTGGGATAGAGTGCAGTGTCACATCATAGCTCACTGCAACCTCCAATTCCTGGGCTCAAGCAATCTTTCTGCCTCAGCCTCCCAAGATGCTGGGACTACAGGCTTGTGCCACCATGCCTGGCTAATTTTTCTATTTTTTGTAGAGACAGGGTCTCACTCTAGCTCAGGCTGGTCTCAAACTCCTGACCTCAAACAATCCTCCCTCATCGGCCTCCTAAAGTCCTAGGATTACAAACGTAAGCCACCCCACCCAGCCTATTTTTAAGTAGGATTTGAGAGAGCCAGTCATTCAGCCTTTGAAAAATCAGTGTAGTACTTTTTTTTTTAGTAGTAAATACCATATTAAGATATATCAAAATCAAGGTTACACACTAAATCACACTAATACTTATTGATATTTTACATTGAATACATTGACTGTGATTTTATTTATTCACCATATGTATTACTTGACATGGTGGTGATTTCTCATTCGGTTTTCACATTTGTAAAACCACAAGAATGTAGCACATATGGAAATATTAAATTGCATTTAATGCAGAATCTATATAGTACTCACCAAAAATCTAGGAGACCAGGAGTTCCTAACTCCCATGCTGTCAAACTACTGACAAGTGTCTTAGGTAGAGGTCTAGGGAAACAAATATTACTGCTCAAACTTATTTCTTTGGCTATACTCAGGGTTGGTTGCAAGGCACTAAGTAGAGTATATTTTTCCCTCTCAAATATACTAGGAAAAATGTATGTACCCAGATTTCCTTTCCCTCTGTCCTTGAGATTCATTATATTTGTTTAAAGAATTTAATGAGTTTGTTCAGGGAGTTACATCAGGAATTATTTTTGTATTAGTGGTAGGAATGACAAGTAGTTTCTTTGTAATGTTGCACCAGTCAATACCTACTTTTGCCTAAGGATACATCCATACCAATTCTGGATAATCCAGCTTTGAAGTGGGTTGGGCAGTGCTAGGTTTCTTCTGTCACTATTAGTTTGGACTGTGACCTAGTCACACATGCCTTGAAAACGTAAACAGCACTGACTATATAGGGTAATTAAGTTCCACAAATGCTAACTAAAGCCAGTGTATATGAGATTTGCATCAAAATAGTTCTCTAGAATAGGTACAAGAAATATTTTCCATTTTCTACAACTTATTTACCTAGAAAGAACATTTAACTAACATGTTCTGCTCATAGAAAACACTGTCCTTTGCATGTGAAGTGTCAAAATGAGCAATTACCAAGCCAAAGAAATGTTCACAATCTTCAAAATGTTCGTTAAATAAATATTTGGCAGAATCAACTTTTAAAGTCATTTAAAAAAATCACTATTTTCTTTATAGAATTTTCAGATAGTGGTTTATGATGGGTGAAATACTAAATATTACACAATCAAGATATAAAGCCCTTTGTTAAAGTTGTAAGAAAGGAGAAAATGGCAAATCTTTTGTTATTAGCCAACCTGTGTTAACATGTGGACATTCTCCGGGTCAAGGAATATTTGTCATACAAATTTCACCAAAGTCCTTTCTTTGTAATCTTTGATTATAGGATCTGGAACCTCAGTGCTTTTTTTACCCTCCTCCCCCCCTTCGTTGTCAAAGAAGATAAAGATAGAGAGCTAGAGCTAGGGCGATAGAGATTGAGAGAGTGAGAGAGAGAAAGAGATCCTTAGAGGAGGAAAGACCACCTTAGCTAGGCTTGTTTTGCATCAGAGATCTGACTAGAGTTAGTCTGGCTGGCAGGACCCAGAGGCAGGCGGAGAATTTCTGAAGAGGAGTCAGTAGCTAACAAAACGGAATCTTTCCTATAAGTCTGGCGCTTTGCTAAGCGTTGTATGTTATCATCTAATTTATTCATAACAGCAACCCCATGAGGAAGGTACTAATATTACTCTCATTTTACAGATGAACGAACTGAAAGTCACAGATAGGAAACAACATACGCGCCGAGGTCACACAGCAAATAAGTGGCGGCACCAGAACTCGATATTGGCCCAGAGCACGCACTCTTCACCGCCGCGTCAACCCTGGGGTCGGATTCGGCGCACTATTCGCGGCCCGCCCACCTTGCTTCATGGGACAGTTCCCGGTACTGAGGGATGGCGCTGTCCAGCCCTCAGGCCCGCCGCGGTCCGCACGCGAGAGAACGCTGCCAGCCGGGCGATCCCGCCCGAAGGCTGTAAAACCGCTGCGCCCAGCCGCGTCCTGGCACGCAAGCGGGCCGAGTCACCTCAGGGCGGCCATCTCAAGCAGCTACCGGGTCTCATCAGCTCCGCGTACTGGGCTCAACTCTGAAAGGCTGAAGGCGCGAAGCAGCATCAGCCCAGTCCCCTGCAGCTCTGCCCCCTACTCCCGCCCAAATAGCCAGAGGCACATAGGTTACGCAGTCTCACCTGTCCCGGAGGCGGCGACCGCTCCGGTGACTGACGCTATGCTCCTCCAACCAGGCAATGGCAGAAAGGTGGGGCCTCGCTGAGACTGATCGCTTCTTTCCTCCAATCCCCGTGCAGTTACTCTCCAGTCAGTATAGGCGCCCGGCAGAGAGCGACAGGTGGGAGCTGCGTTACTTTGGTGCCTCTCGCATGCTTGATGTATAAGCTTCACCAAGCGCAGGGTGAAGTCAACTCCAAATTTTGCCAATTCTCGAGGGTCGTCACTTAAGCCGTCATTTTAATCAGAAGTGGAAATTCCCCAGCCCTTTCCCGTCACCTCAGATGAGGGCGGGATGAATGGTAACCTCATCCGCCAATTGTACCACGCGACGTCCTGTGACGAATGACCGACACTTTATAGCGCCAATGAACTCTGCCATTGTTAGGCGTCACTATGACTGACCATAAGGCCAACTAATCCACTTTAAGGTCGTGACGCGATAGTCAGCGGGGCTGACCAATAGACAGAGAAAAAGAACGGAAGTCTCCTTGTGGGGGGAGTAGGAGGCGGGTGCTAGCAACCGCCTAGGCCTGCGCGGGTCAACGCAGCTTGGGGGCCGCGAGCCAGCGAGCGGCGCGTGACGAAGACCATGAGCGACGGGTTACCTTGGCCAATGATCTGCAGCCTCCGGGGAGCTGCCGCCAGTAGCGAGTCGAGGGGGCGGGAGGCAGCAGGTTAGGCAGTGAGAAGTTAGTGGCGCTGCTGGGACGGGGGAAAGGAGACGCTTCTTCTTCCTGCTGCTCCTTTCGTTCCCGGGATCAGCGGCGGCGGTGGCCGCGAGTGACTCGGCAGCGTCTCCGGCTCCGCGTGGGAACCATGCTGACCGATGGCGGAGGTGGCGGCACCTCCTTTGAGGAGGACCTGGACTCGGTGGCTCCGCGATCCGCCCCAGCCGGGGCCTCAGAGCCGCCTCCGCCGGGAGGGGTCGGTCTGGGGATCCGCACCGTGAGGCTCTTTGGGGAGGCCGGGCCCGCGCCGGGAGTCGGTGGCGGCGGCGGCGGCGGCAGTGGTGCGGGCGGAGGGGACGCGGCGCTGGATTTCAAGTTGGCTGCTGCTGTGCTGAGGACCGGGGGTGGAGGTGGTGCCTCTGGCAGCGACGAGGATGAGGTGTCTGAGGTAAGGCTCCAGGACCCCCACTTCCCACACAGCGTGAGGCGTGAATTCTTTTGGGTCGGGGCCACCCTCCCGCTTCCCGGGGGGAGTACTTCTCTGACAGCTGTAGGCTCCATGCGGTGGTGGCAGCGGTGCGGGCCTAGTGAGCTTTCGGCTCACTCCTCAGTCCGCGGCTCGAGCGGGACGGGTTCCCGTCACCATTCGTACCCACAATAGGGAATCCTTTGGTCTCTGAGCTTCGCGCGGGAACAAGGATTCCTCAGGCTACCTCCCGCCCACCCTGCTTCGGAGATGGGGGGGCGGGGGCGGGGTCTTGCCGGAGTCCCTGCCCTTGGTACTGAGAGAGACAAACAGAAAGAGTCAGAGACAGACAGAGCTAGCTAGCTCAAAGATCGTTTCTACTATATGCCTCTCCCCAAAGTTGAGGGGTACATTTATTTGTTTTATGCCTCGTGCATGCCTTACTTGTGTACTTAAGGGAGGGTTCTTATTTTTCCTCTTTAGTTTGAGACAGGTGAATATTAAGGATCTCTCTCAGCTTGTACCCTGAAAAATCACGTGACTCCTGCACTTGGGACCTTTTGTGAAGTTAGACAGGAAAAGGAAGTTCCAGTGCATCTCTGAGCCTTGGAATAGCTGGATAGCCGAACTCTGAGGTTTTTAGGCTCGGAGAAGGTGAGGCTCACTATGGACACCTTTTCTTTTGCAGTGAGGTCCTTCATTTCTTTTAACTCTTGTGTGTATACTCTTATGTGTACACATTTTTAGGTCTGAGCAACCTAGGATGGTAGGCATAATCTTCTTTTG